TACAATGTAACAACCCTGAAGATAACTTCAACAGGGAACCTTAGTCATGAAAGTGATCACAGTTTTCGAATATTGCAAAGAACTAGGCCAAAAGCACGTTATTATTCATAGTTATCACGATTGCCGCATGGAAAGGTACTTCACAATTAATCTGTTCTATCTACAAAAATGTTACCTTCGGATAGATAGGCCCTGAAGATATCTCAGCTTTTCAACAAACGAGGAATTAGGTCCTTCATCAAGGTGTCAGTTTGAGCCTCACTGACTCGTATGATCATCCGTTGATCCCTGATAATGTCACCCCACAGGAAGCTTTGGGAACAGCTAGAAGGAAGATTCGTAGTTGGCTCGCAACAGGTGACAGTTTGATGTTTAAATGTAATCAAATCCTAATTTCACCTGGGGCAAGTCCCTTGCACGGGATAAAGCAATCGCTCATTCTTCAAGTTTTTCGAGGCTAAACATTTTGCATGATAATGTGCAGCGCAAGATAAACATCGAACTAGCTGGGTGAGCTGAAGTGAACTTCTTTGTCTGCATATATGTCGTATTGCCTTGATTCCAATTGACGCCGGTTGAACTAACCTTTTCAATATTATTACCACAAAGTCGGCACTCTCCCTTTTCAACGTAACAATCACTTGTAGGCAATATTTCTGTGGACGATTTCTCTATCAGTCCATATACCTTCTGCACATGCTTGGGCGGAAGGACCTCTTCTGGGAAAGGCAGTTCTTCGCTCTGGAAAATGAAGTTCTGGAAAATTTCCACCCCTCTTTGTGATGTACTCATGAAGGAATAGACTAGCCACATGAAAAAAGTATCACATAAAAACTGAAATCATTACCGGCAACAACCAACGAAAAGTGAGCGCAAAGTTATTCCAAGGTCGGCTGTTCAGCAAATAGCACGCAACCCGCAGCCTAAGGAAGATTATAATGAGCTTGCTCTACAAAATGTACTGCAATTTCTGCATATATCCAAGAAACATGGAAGAATTAGTCGCCTAATCCTAAAATGATATGTATTTTATCACAACCTTCAATCGCGACCAATTCCTTGAAGAAACATTCAGCTCATATTTTACTCAATGACTTTCGAAAAATGCAATATGAAAAGTTCAGGCTATTAAACAGCATTAAACACCCTATTGTAGCACAACGAGAGAAGAAGGGCTCAGCGTTCAAAAAGAATTCTTGAAAAAACCAGTGTAGCTCACCTGTACGCGAACGGCGTTTCTTTTTTTGTTTTCTTCAATGAGAGACCCTTGAGAACCCGCGTTTTTTCGGGATTCTGCCAAGCCCATTCAAAGCGCAATGCTGCTACGCTATTAGGGAAACCATGAATAATGCAGACCATATCCCTTAAAAATCATGAAGAAAAAAATACAGCCAAGGAAGCGTAACATCACCACCAAAAACTCACCATGGTCCCCTATTGTCTGTTTTCTTTGCGCCACCCTTCTCTCGTCCCCCGTTGTGCTGCTGAATTCGTCGATTTGGGTCTACCGTATAACCGATATAACAACGATTCTGAAACAAAATACAATGCTAACCAAGATTTTTAAGCTATAAGGTTCCCTCCTACCTTATAGTACGAAAGCTGACTTCGGCTAATCAAGCAATATACACCAAAGAACTCATCCGGAACGGTTTTAATAGCCTTTGGTCTTTTACTCTTCCGCGGACTGATCAAGGCTTTTGCCTGAGTTGACTGAGCCACATCGTCGCTGTCAAAAAATGAGCACTAGTTTAGAGTGGATAGAATGTTGGTACAACTTTAGAAAAGCCACAAAAAAAATCTAACC